TTCAGCAATGTTTAAATAAATAATGTGTTCTAATGGTATACTTATATTATTGTAAATTACTATCTACTACTAATACTACCAGAACCAACAACTGTTTTTAACTAGACGTTTTTATGCATTACGTTCTAAATAAAATTGTAAGCAGATAAGGTTGTTTTCGCTATATATCACTCAAGAGAGCCACTTGAAATTATCTCGTCTATTTTTGGCCGAAAACACATTCAGACTGGCTAGTATCTCGTGCCCCTTGACGTTGCACCACCCTTTCCAACCTTCCGACCTGCATGGAATTTAAATACAACTTGACATATACTATATTTCCAGGTAATACAAGACCTGATTTTAGTCCGAACCTCGAATAGATAATATGCACCAAAACTGCTTAATGGTACAGTTTTTAGTTTTACCCAATTAAAGCCTATTTGAATCAAGTAATAATACGATTCTTTAAATTATTACACAGTCTACTTAGTTAATAAATCATATTACAATTTTCCGAGCTTAGATGTATTTTTTAACGCAATTATATTTTCTAGAATAGCGTAAATTATCTAAAAAAATTGTATATACCAAAGTAAGATGCGACATTCATATAGGATAATCAACTCTGATTCACACTGTCTTCTCTTCCTTGTTTACTGCAGAGACAATATGATATTATCAATTTAAACATGTAAAAATCAATGGGCTTAGATTTATATCATATCTAAATAATTCACTAGAATAAAATAAAGTGCGTGTAAAGTTTGGTTTCATGAGAACATAATTTATATTGAAGCTTCCATCAAATACCTGTAATTCATAATCGTATTATTTGCAGAAACCCTCAGAAAATACCCAATACTTCCTTTCTTAAGGAGGTACTGCGTCAAGGATTACATGGTAAATAGTAATTTTACAATAGAAAAAGGTTATCAACCAGAGGAATTCAGAATGACCCGGCTTACTTTCCAAATCCGGAAAAATTCGTTCCAGAAAGATTCAGCCCAAATGAACCTTTTGAATTTTTGAGTTTAATATTTTTTACATTACCTCTCTGATTTTTTGTTTTAATTTAAATATGATTGTAAAGAAAGAGGTCGGCCGCGAGATAAGTTTTGAATAATGTATTTTTCTAAAAAAATTAACCTCAGGTGTGATGAAAATGAGGTGGGCTATATAGTAAATTTTATAGAGTAGTAGTGCGTGTCTAGAGTAATTAACTAAGACAGTTTTTTTACGATCCACCACCCTTTTTCCTTCTCCTCTCACCGTCGTCTAATGTAATAAACATTACGCGGCCAAGTTAACATGTTTCTAATTTACACTTTTCACCCAGTTCCACGATCTTCTCGTTTTTAACCGGCAACTTATCCCATTTCTTAAAAAGTTGTGCATACCACCTTACGTTAATTCCTTGAGACTAACTTAGAATGAAATGGAAAGAGAGACTTCGTAAGTCTACAGTTGGTGAGACAGTGTTCAAGCCAAGGTCCCGCCCCTCCTTTTTTTTACTCATTTGTGTTCAACTTTCCCCGAGAGCTAATAAATCATATAAAAAGTGCTGGTTAATTACTTTGCGTTGATAAAAGATGGGTTTTTTCTTTCCAAATTTGAATCATTATAATCCTTATCTTAAAAATAAAAGAGAGAACATAGCAAAACGCGTAATTACATTGTTGAAAACAAAGTGAATTATAGGCGGAAAAAATCCAACGTATATAGCTGCTCAAAATGGACAATTTAGTCATGTTCAAATAAATCATACTTGGACAAAGTTGCACAAATGTTGATATTTCCTAACCATTTGACAAGTGCAAATAATGGCAAATAAACGCCACTAGTTTATTTATCCGACATATTTTTCACTCATGGATAGCAGGAGTTCAATGGAGTTGGTTTTATTAAGTTTACGAAATTTAAATTGACAAAAACTAAATCATGAGAATAATTTTAAACTCACATTTCACTAGACATTTTATAAAATCAAAATTACGTAGGAAAAGCCTTCTATTGAAACATATATCTATTTCTAATTTGAAAAATGTCCGTTTGTTTCATCTTTAACCATGAACAAATCGAAACAACATAAATTTCCAAAGCTCCTCCAGTTAAAGATTAACAAGTAAAACAGGCCCAACTTCCGTAATACCTTCTCATTAAAGCGTATTATCGAAAATTAATGCTCAAGTCAGGCAGAACAAATACCGCCCTGGCTGGGCGTTTTTCGGTAACCGGTTGAATGATCAGAGTACGCGGAAGACCTGACCCTTTATACCTGTGTAATTATTTTATCTATAAGAGAGTAACTAAAAACAAAAAAGCTGATTGGCGATAATTATAGCATTGTTGAAACGCCGTACGCTAGTTTCATATTATTTACAGTTAGTTTAGGTTCTTAGTTGAGATAAAAAAGTCAAAGTCACGAGCGGGATTCGAACCCACGACACTGACTTATTTACCTCAACTAAAAACCTTAATTAATTGAAATATATTAATTTGTCAAGCGGAACTCTAAAACTAGTGAATTGATATATTACTTTGAAAGTCAAATCATGTAACATGAAACAATTTACATAATTATGTTTTCCGGGAGCAAGTTTTTATGTTCTTATATGAAACAGCAAGGAATCAGTAGAAAAGTAGGCAGGTTTTTGAGTGAACCACTAATTGCCAATCCCGGGTAAACCCAGGGTTGAGAACACGGCTTTTTCCAGCTCAAAAATTAAAAGAAAATACCCTTCTTCCTCAAAATTGCAAAATATATACAGCAAGATTTCTAGAACTTTGTTTTTACCGAAAAAAAGCAAAAGGACCTACGAAAAGCAGACGGATAAATAGCATGTTCTCTGCGGGTCGAGTTGTTAAAGTGGACAGTTCTACCTACAGGTGACGTTTAAAGTTTATGAAATTGAAGGTACACGAATCGTTCAAGTTTAGATAATTATTGATTGAGAAAGTCAAGGTAAAAGTATTTAAAAAACATAATATAAACATTAGAATATGTAATTAAAATTTACAGTTTAAATTCTAACATAAATGCCATCAGGTCTTTTACAAATCGTGTACTTTCTTTAAAAAAGGTCGTACTTCCAAAGAACAAAACCTTTTCATGATTTTTTTTTTCAATATTATTTTTTATTTACTAATTCTGTCATTATTTCGTATACTTTTAAAAAGGGTTGTTATATCTTGTTTTATGGTTCCGGGGTCGTATAACCACATTACAAATATTAACAAAGTCAATAACCGCCATCATTCGACTTATTGCCGTTCCATAAATATTGTGTGTATATTGGGACCGGTTTTAATCTTTCTTTTTCATCTTTTTTTAAGTCTTAATTTCAATCGGAACCAGATCAAATTTTGTATTTGTCCTCGCGATTTCTCACTTAACGAACCATCCTTGAAATATCCCCTCTATCTGTCATTCGACAATTCGGAGTGGCCAGTGTCCAGTGTTAGCTGGTTGAAATACGCAGGTTTCCGGCCTGCATGGAATTTCAGTGCGACTTTACATCAAAACCTATTTCAGGTAATTAAGATCAAACTTGTGAGTTAACTTTGAAAAAACATGGCACTCAAAATATAAAAACATAACAGAAAACATCACATGAACAGTCTTCACGGAATGAATGAGTTTTATTAAGTTATTGGGGGAGGGCAAGCACATAGCATTATCCTATCTTTTTAAATAAGATTAACAATACACTGATGTACAAATTTAACGTAACACTCAATTTATTTAGTTTACAATGAAATTCATTATCTTTCTACATTTGTTCGAAACGTTGAAATGTAGTAGACGGAGGAGGTCAAAGTAAAAGTATTTAAGAAAATTAAGAAAACAATATAAACATTAGAATAGTTAAAGCTTAAAGTTAAAAAAAAGATTACGATTTTTAATAATAAGCTCTAACTTTTAACATTTCAATAAGTATTACTTTTTGCAATATTAGTGTTACGTCGCAAATCATATTTCTGAAAAACTAAAATTAAAAACTTCTACAAGTCCCTCAAATGGTAATTCAACATATACGAACATATTTACTTAAAACATCACTTGTAGTTGGAAATACCAAATTAATGTAATTTAAAAAAATTAATTTTTTTAACTTTTCAAAGACACTGATGCAAACTGTAATTATATATTGAAATGTTTAAAATGGAGCTTATGAAATAAAAACTGTTCATTTTTTTTGTCTAGGCTGAGTAATTATTTGAGAAAACCAGGGGTCTACCAGTAAGATGAAACTATATCAAACATTTTCATAAACCGATTTTCCCATCGTTTTTCCCATTTATCATAAATCCGAATGAACTTAATGAAATCGCATAATCAATTGTAAAAATTTCATTTTTTGACTTTTTAAAGAAACCGATAAAAACCGTAATTACATTTCGGGAGGTTCAAATGCCGAGCTTGTGAAATAAAAACTGCTAATTGTATTCTAATGCTTAAAAGTAAAACTTATGATAAAAAAATTCGATTTTCTTCTAGATTGAGCCATTGTTAAGAATACCATGTGGTCCAATACTATCTAAAGTTTTTATGATTCCATTTTCAAATGGTTTACGACATTTTTCATAAAAATAATTGTACTTTCTATGTCAAGTAGTTTTTGAATAATCCAGTGGTGCCACTAGATACATCACAATCTGCACAGTATAGAAAATAACATTTAGATAAATTTTAACAATCGATCTAATTTGTTGAAATTTATTTTTAATTGGGAAAGGACGTTGTACAGTATTATTATAATCTGTCTATACAAATTTTGCAAAAGATTCAGCAGTTTTTATATAAATATTGCGTTCTGATGGTATTATTATGTTATTGAAAAATGACTGCCTACTACAAATCCTACCAGAATCAATCGATCTATTGTTTTAAACAAGGCGATTTTCTGCCCAGCCATATAGTGCGAAGTAAAATTCCAATCAGATTAGATTTTTTTCTCGCCATATATCACTCAAGAGAGCACACTTGAAATTCGCCCCTCTATTTTCGGCCTACAACACATTCAGACTGGCTAGTATCGAGTGTCCGCTGACGCTGCAACACCCTTTTCATTCTTTCGACTTGCATGGAAATTAAATACAACTTGATATATATTATATTTCCAGGTAATACAAGATCTGCTTTTAATTTGAACTTTAAATAGATAAGAAACACTTATAAATGCTTGTTGATTACTGTTTTTAGAGTTTTACACAATTATCGTCTGTATTTAACAAACCTACGTCAAAACTAAACGGAAATTCAAGATTATTTTGAAAAATGAATAGGATCTTCGATCAAATGATGACTCCTTGAATCAAGTAATAATACTACTCTTTAAATTATTATCAAGCCCACTTAGTTAATAGCCGTAAATTGTCTAGAAAAAACTTAAATACTAAAGTATGTTACATATTTTCCATTTGAGTTGGATCGGGGCTCATATGTATTTTCTTGACGCAGGTAAATTACCTAGAATAACGTAAATTATCTTTTAAAAAATTGCATATAATAAAGTATGATGGGACATACATGTAAAAAGCGTGATGAACTCTGATTCACATTGTCTTTTATGAAATAATTCATTTACTTTTCATAAAATAAAGCAATATTGCATAAAAATAGAAAACTAAAAATCCTCTACATCTGCGCCATTTTCTTAAAGCACTTTTATAAATATTTACCCACTACAATTACTATATAAAAATACTATCAATGATAGTATTTTTATTAAGTACTGAGTTTTTCTCTTTTCTGAAGATGTTTATATAATTATATGAGTTGGTTTTAATGAGTGCGTGCGTGTGAGTTGGTGTGTCTATTCGATAGCAAGCCCGTACCTCTGATTGGAACCCCATTGAGCGGTTTTTTTGTGTACGAGTTAGGACGTCGGGTAACCTCCCACAACCTTAGCCGAGCTGAAAGTTACGTTAGTTAACATTGAGAATGAAATTCATTAAGACGTACTTAAAAGCTTAAGCTTAATTATGAGCAAACCTAGATGTATGGAGTTTGTAGTTATAAGAAGTAGAGATAACACAGACTATTTGATTTTTGAGTTTAATTTATGTCATCGTTTTATGTTTATGCGCAAAAATATCTTTTTTTAATTAATGTTTTGTTTGGAGAGGTAGTTGTATTTTCACAGTAACAAAATCTTTTAATAAATAGCTCTTAATAAATACCTGAATGAATAAATATGCATTACTGAAAATGCATATTTTTATGCAGTATATACTATGGAAGTATTGAGTACGTAATTATAAAAAGAGGAGTAACACTATTGGCTTGTGGAGTTTGTTTTATATCGTCGTTTTATGATCATGCATAAAAGTATTTTTTTTAATTAACGTTTTGTTTGTGTAGGTAGTTTTATTTTTACAGTAACAAAATCTTTTATTAATTACCTGAATTATAATATTACTGAAAATGCAATTTTTTTGAAGCAGTGTATACCATGTGAATTTTTATAAGATATTGCCTATCATGTTTATGCTGCCTATTTTATTATAAACCTAAGTGTAGTTTCGTAAAAGTATGGACAATTTTCACTTAGAATCTGCTGGTGTTATTAGAATTTTAATAAATTGACGCGTTAAGCCGATCTGGTAATTATTTTTGTCGAAATGGTGTGACCTATTGGTGTAGTTAATGTAGTTTTTTTTTTTTTTTTTTTTTTTTTGAGAGTGAGAGTCTCTCATGCTAACCACTCGGCTACCGCGGTCCCCAAGTTTTTTAATTAATTTTTTGTTTGGAGAGGTAGTTTTATTTTCACAGTAGCAAAATCTTTTAATAAATACCTGCATTTTAATATTACTGAAAATGCATTTGTTTAAGCAGTATATAGTATTGAGTACGTAATTATAAAAAGAAGAGTTATACGCACTATTGGATTTTAGAGTTTTTTTGTATATCGTTGGTTTATGATCATGCGAAAAAGTATTTTTATAAATTAACGTTTTTGCTTGTGTAGGTAGTTTTATTTTTGCAGTATAAAAATCTTTTAATAATTACCTGAATTATAATATTACTGAAAATGCAATTTTTTTTTAAGCAGTGTATACCATGTGAATTTTTATAAGTCTATATATACAAGCCTATCATGTTTATGCTGCCTATTTTATTGTAAACCTAAGTGTAGTTTTTTTAAAAGTATGGACAATTTTCACTTAGAATCTGCTAGTGTTATTAGAATTTTAATAAATTGACGCGTTAAGCCGAATTTAGCCTGTAATTATTTTAATTATTTTTTCGAAATGGTGTGCCCTATTGGTGTAGTTATTTTAGTTTCCCTTGTTACCAAATTTATTTGTATTATCAGTTCATAATTATACTTTATTATCTTCAGATGTTTTTGAGGATGACTTTTTTACACATTTAGAAACATGATACCAGAAACTCAAAAACGTGATTCCAGAAACTCAAAAATTCGTCGATTTGTTGTGGAGATAATGAAGATAGCCGCTTTTCCTTCAGAACACGATAATTTTAATTAAATATTGTAAATTTTAATTTTCCCCTTTTTTTAACCCGTTACACGATAAATTTAAATTCCCGAGTCTGAAGAAAACATCAAAATTTCCCGAACGAATCGAGAAATGTTTAAGTTTTTGGTATCACTTTTTTAGAAGGGAAAGGAGTTCCAAAATGCGTGAAAAAAATTCAACCTCAAAAATTCATCGATTCGTTCTGTAAATATTCAATTTTTCATCATAATTCGACAATTTCAATTGATATGTAACTGATTTTTGTTGTGAAAAGTTAAAAAAGGCAAATTTAAAATATCTACACAAATTAAATTTTCACTTTTGAAAAATAACATGTTATGTTTATGCTGTATTTTATGTACGCTTGAATGAAAATTACGTCCGTATGAAACCAAACTCCACACACAATTCATTTTATGCTTGTGAATTATTTATATACGATATAAATCAAAAACATTGATTTTAACATGTTTAATTAGATAATAATATGTATGCGTAAACAAGGAAAAAAAGAAATTAAGAGAGGTAAAACATTTTTAAGATTTTTCGACTAAAAATCGTCAAATATAACACTGTTCCAAGAACTATGTGTCTAGTATGTTAGTGAACACACATAATACTGATAGTTGAATACATTAGAAAGATCTTATAGAAATATAGTTACAGACTCCAAATCAGGCATGAAATATGTTAGATAAATTACAAAAAAAATACAATCTAAAAGATAAGGTCGTACCAAAATTCACATGTCGTTCTTATGTAAATACAGATTTCAGATATGATATTTTGTTTATTATATCAAAACTTAAATTGCGTTCTTTTTCAGAATCATGGGAGAAATAACATTGGCGTTGGTGGTGATTGTCATATCTCTCGTTCTCTACCGATTCATATGGCTTGTAAGAAGAGTAAAATACTGGAAATCGAAGAACGTGGGTTATTCTAAAGCTGAAAATTTTAGTGGTGGTCTTCTATCGTTAATTCAGAAAACACCTTTGTACGACAGATGGTATATCCTCTACAGCGATTACCCAGGCCACAAATTTGTGGCTGTAGATAATAACGATAAACCACTATTGTTGGCTAGAGACGCAGAATTTGTACAAAAAATCATGATTAAAGATTTCCAATATTTTGTGGACCATGACAAACCCAATGCAGACGAAGGATCATTGTTTAGTTTGGGTTTGTTTGGTCTTACTGGTAATGAATGGAGAGGGTTTCGGGCAAAAATTTCACCGACTTTTACCTCCGGAAAGCTAAAGTCTATGTTTGACCAGTTGGAGGCGTGCAGCGACGCTATGTTGAAAAGCGTAGAAAAATCGTACGAAATGCCCGATTACGATGTCAGGGACGATGTCATGTCGTACGCGATGGACGTGACGGCATCCGCCATATTTGGAATCGAATTTCGGGACGAAGAACTAAGGGCTAAATACAAAAAAACGTCTTCGGATTTGTTCAAAGCATCGACTTTGAGAATGCTATGTTTTGCCATTCATGCACAATTTCCCAGACTCGCTAAATTCCTTGGCTTGAAGACGTTTGACCAAGAAAAGGATGATTTTTTCAAAAACATTATAAAACAAACATTCGATCAGAGAAAAGCGAACAACGTAAATCGAAACGACTACGTTCAGCTTCTTTTAAACTTAAAAGAATTTGGAAAATTAGAGGTAAAAGTACGGGACCCAGACGATGATTATTTAAAAATCGACGATCTTCACGTAGAAAACGTAGGTAATTAAAAAAAAAACATTTCACATGTAAATAAATTCTTCAAATATTCAATGGTTAAATGGTGTAAATTTAAAAGAAAAATGTTTTCAGAAGTTACAGATGAAATCCTGGCCGCTCAGGCATTCCAATTCCTTACAGGCGGTTTTGAACCGATTTACAACGCAATGTTACTTTTTCTAATAGAAGTAGCTCAATACGAAGACATTCAGAATAAACTGCGAAAAGAAATACAAGAAGTCAAAACAAAACATGATGGGTACAATTACAAGTCAGTCCGAGAAATGGTATACTTAGAACAGTGCATACATGGTAATTTTTAAGACTTATTTTCATTCATTCTAGTGATATAGGACTAAAAGACGTAATTAATTACTTAAAGACGTAATCTTTTACCAAACGATACCTAAAGTATAAAAGGGGCAATTATATCGGTATGGCTATGTAATACTGATTTTCCTTGCCAACAAACATGCAAGAAAATTATTACTTTCAAGTCAATTGTACTATTCTCTTTATTTATTAGATTTCATTTTTATTTTGTCTTTACTACTATCTATTTTACATTTAAATAATCACTTGCATAGAAATCATTTGTGATCCGTTCTTTAACCTGTAATTCCTAATCGTATTATTTGCAGAAACACTCAGAAAATACCCAATAATTCCTTTCACAATGCGGTACTGCGTCAAGGATTACATGGTAAATAGTGATTTTACAATAGAAAAAGGTTCGTTGGTCTTCGTGTCAACCAAAGGAATTCAGAATGACCCGGCTTACTTTCCAAATCCGGAAAAATTCGATCCAGAAAGATTCAGCGCAAATGAACCAANTAGAAACGACTACGTTCAGCTTCTTTTAAACTTAAAAGAATTTGGAAAATTAGAGGTAAAAGTACGGGACCCAGACGATGATTATTTAAAAATCGAAGATCTTCACGTAGAAAACGTAGGTAATTAAAAAAAATGAAATGAACATTTCACATGTAAATAAATTCTTCAAATATTCAATGGTTAAATGGTGTAAATTTAAAAAAAAAAATTATGTTTTCAGAAGTTACGGATGACATCCTGGCCGCTCAGGCATTCCAATTCCTTACAGGCGGTTTGGAACCGATTTACAACCGATTTCTGATAGAAATAGCTCAATACGAAGACATTCAAAATAAACTGCGAAAAGAAATACAAGAAGTGAAGACAAAAAATGATGGGTACAATTACAAGTCAGTCCGAGAAATGTTATACTTAGAACAGTGCATACATGGTAATTTTTAAGACGTATTTTAATTTCAATCTAATGATACAGGCAATTTGTTTGTTGATACAAACGATACCTAAAGTATAAATGGGCAATCATATCGGTATGACTGTGTATTACTGATTTTCCTTGCCAGCAAACATGCAAGAAAATTATTACATTCTCGTCAATTGTACTATTTTCTTTATTTATTAGATTTCATTTCCATTTTGTCTCAACTACTATCTATTTTACATTTAAATAATCATGTGCATAGAAATCATTTTTGATCCGTTCTTTAACCTGTAATTCATAATCGTATTATTTGCAGAAACACTCAGAAAATACCCAATAATTCCTTTCTTAATGAGGTACTGCGTCAAGGATTACATGGTAAATAGTGATTTTACAATAGAAAAAGGTACGTTGGTCGTCGTGTCAACCAGAGGAATTCAGAATGACCCGGCTTACTTTCCAAATCCGGAAAAATTCGATCCAGAAAGATTCAGCGCAAATGGACCAATTAAAAATATTGCATATTTACCCTTTGGAGCTGGTCCTCGAGTTTGCATCGGTAAATATCAACTAGTCATATATATTCTCTTCCGTCATTTAAAAAAATGTACTTTCCTTTTATCAATTTTTTAAGGAATGAGGTTTGCCATAATGGAAATGAAACTTGGGTTGGCGAAAATAATAGAAAATTTCTCCATAAAACTAGGGGACAAAGCAAAATTCCCTGTGGAATTTAATAAAAGAAGCTTTTTTTTGTCAGCACCTCATGGCTACTTAAAAATGACAAAGATTAAATGACAAATAATGTAACATACATTTATAAAGGATAAAATGTTTTTAATCATAACATAACAAACCGTTTCGAAAATCGTATAAAATTAATTATTACGTATGTGGATGTGCGTGTTTTATCCGTTTTAAACATACAGGAATATGTAAACTTGTTATAATTCTGTGGAACTATATATTAGTCATAATGAAATAACTTATGTTTAACTAGTTAATCAATAAAATAAAACATTTTAATTATTGTTTATTAAAACCTATATTTAATACTCTTTTTTTATACTTTTAATGTTTTATCTTTATATATCATGTCATCAGTTTATTATGTTCTGGAAACAGGTTTCTTTATGGACAGCAAAAACTATACAAATTATAAAACAGCTTTCTGTCCAATAGAACAATCATTCAAAGTGGATAGGTACAATACATTTATAACTAAGAGTTGTTACGATGACTGAAAGGTAGTACAATATACTACTTAAGTAACTACTCAATAGATTACACAAAATAAATGAAATCGATCTTTCCCTCTGTTCACAACTTGAATTAAGCATTAATTTCTCCAGTTATATAAATGAATATTAAAGCATATCAAACAATAATATAAAATTCGATCAATCGGAGAGAGAGGGAGGGGGGAGAGAGAGAGTTTGAGTGAGAAGGAGGGACAGAGAGCGGGATGTAAAAGAATGTATTTATATTTTTGAGTTTAATATTTTTTACATTACTTCTCTGACTGTTTGTTTTAATTTTAATATGATTGTAAAGAAAGAAGTCGGCCGCGAGGTAAGTTTTGAAAAATGTATTTTTCTAAAAAAATTAACCTCAGGTGTGATGAAAATGAGGTGGGCTATATAGTAAATATTATAGGGTAGAAGTGCGTGTCTAGAGTAATTAACTAAGACAGTTTTTTTGTGATCCACCACCCTTTTTCCTTCTCCTCTCACCGTCGTCTAATCTAATAAACATTACGCGGCCAAGTTAACATGTTTCTAATTTACACTTTTCACCCGGTTCCACCATCTTCTCGTTTTTAACCGGCAACTTATCCCATTTCTTAAAAAGTTGTGCATACCACCTTACGTTAATTCCTTGAGACAAACTAAGAATGAAATGGAGAGAGAGACTTCGTAAGTCTACAGTTGGTGAGACAGTGTTCAAGCCAAGGTCCCGCCCCTCCTTTTTTTACTCATTTGTGTTCAACTTTCCCCGAGAGCTAATANATATATAATAAGGTAGAGGTAGAGGTAGAGGTAGAGGCAGAGAGAGAGAGTGTGTGTGTGAGAGATGGTGTGAAAAATCTAAAGTAAAATACCCAATATATATATGTAGATAGATAGATAAAAAATACCATTTTTAATGTAGAAAATATTTTTTCAAATGTTCTCCAAAATAGATTAAATAATATAATCTTAATCATAAAAAAAATTTAACATGTAAAAAGGGCCCAAAAGCTTAAATTCTTTTTATTAAATTATTTAATTTGAAATCAGAATTGTTATTGTAATAAAAATACAAATAACTGAGGGACACTGGAAAATAATGTACAATATGTTCTCACAGATAAATTCTCTAAAAATGTATTCCATTAATGTAACTTACATCATTTTACAAACTTTGAAAATTTATATAACAATCATTTTAATTACGTTGGTGGTTGGAGTAGCAGCCAAGAAAACAATTTTTAATTGTTCAGTTTTTTAACTTGACAAACATTTTGGGCCTATCCGGACTCTTTTTCAAGGTGTAAACTTAATAAAGAACAGAAAATATACTTCGCAGTTAATACTCTAATAAGCCAGTCGACAAATTTACAAGAGGGTTTAACACTTATGCCAATTTTGTGGTTGAATAATAAATCAAAAGTTCTTTTTCTATACAGTTTCAAAAAATAATTCTATCCTTTTTTGGTTAAAACTGAGCGAGAGAGGTTTACCAATTTTGAAACGTCAAACACAAGTGATTGAAAAAAAAGGATATAGTGAATCAGCTAAAACCACCTGCGATCTCAATGTGTTTTTGTGACGTCACTGTTTAAGTATAAAATTTTCGGATTTCAATTTTTGTAATAATTACGATTAATTAATTGGTCAACCGGACCACGAAATTGGTGAATTTAATGATTAAAAAATGAAGTATACTTCACTAAAGCTCTCCGTGGCCATTTCATTTGTCGTCGAGAATCCAACCCGATTACACGGCATTTAAAAAATGGCAAAACGGAGGGAAAATTCAAAAGGTGCGGTTGAGATGGGAAGTTGGTGTCCGAGTGGATCGAGGTCACGATAGCTCAAGTGGTAGAGCAGCGGCGTATCAAGCCGAAGATCGTGGGTTCGAATCCTGCTCGTGCCATTGACTTTTTTATCTCAACTAAAAACCTTAATTAATTGTAATATATTAATTGATCAAGCGGACCACGAAATTAGTGAATTTTGTAATAATTATTTGGAGATCGTGAGATGCGGTCTGGTGTGACGTAGGTTTTAGAAAAACATTTTCTTTGTCGTGCCAACGTGTTTAGCTTTATTGAGATCATCTTCAGGGCTTAAAGTGTTTGTTTTCTGAACTGAAGATGATCTAAATAAAGTTCGAAACGTGGCACGATAAAGAAAATGTTTTTCTAAACCTACATCACACCAGACCGCATCTCGCGATCTCCAAATAATCATGAACTAACGGTCACTAAACACCACACAGTTTTGTAATAATTTTAAGAATATAATAAGAAAAAGTCAAAGAAATGTTCTATTTAATAATATAGCTCATTTTTATATATTTGTGCGTTTTGGTAAAATTTGTTTGTTAATTACTTTAATTTGCTATTCAGAACATAAACGCCCATCTTTTCAAAGTTGAAAATAATCTCATGACTTAACGTTAAACAGACTTAAGTGAGTTTTAAAGATATCCTGTAAGATAAAAACAAAGACTGATATGTCTTTAACGGAGGGACTCAGAACAGCGATGAATTAAACAATTCGTTTGAAATTTTGATGCAAATTAGCTCCTAATCGCTGAAAGTTCCAACACAAAAGAAGCCCAGGACTGTGTTCCAACCTATCCCTTTCCAGATTTTCCCCTAATTAAGCCTGTTGGAAAGGAATTTTTTCCCTTGTTGAAAGACACCTCGTTCAAAGCGTATTTGGAGCAAAAGCCGATCGAGGGCGCGTCTTAATTGTGCCGATCCTGCCGTACCGTGAGGAAAAGGGGGGGGGGCCAATTGATCTCGGCAGATATTAAACTTGGCCTTTCAACAGGCAATCTTTGCGACGTTGGAAACTCTTCAAAGAATTGAACACTTCGAATAACTTGTCTTTTAACAAATTAGGACTGAGTCGGTCATCGGGCAATAGGAACTTTTGCCATTTAAACTCTCTTCAAAGGAAGGATTTAAATTTAGCAATGGCCTACCAGCCGCAATAACGACTTCTGTTTATTTCGATGAACTACCGCATAGACATTCTATAACACACACTGTACATACCCTAATTAATTACCAAGAACATGTTTTAATGAAGTATACATAAAAGCGAAACTTTAAAATATCATTGTTTAATCTAATTTTTTTGCTGGTACAGATTTTTTATATTATATATACGGATGAATCACGGAGACCCCATCACTGTAGATGGCGAGAAGCCGAAACGCGCTAACAGACCGAAAGGCTAGGAGAGAAAAAATGTTCGGAAACAGCTAAACCTGTATATACGTATTTATTTATTAGTCAGTATACGCAATGAAAAATAAATCAGGCGAAATATATAAAGAATGAGACAGAGAAAATTAAAAAATACTAAAAGATTGAAGCAGATAAATAAACATACAGAATAGAATAAAGAGAAGCAGGAAGATCGAGATAGATAGCATAAGTGGATAATGAGAGAAGTGACTAGGAAATAAAAACAGTAAAATACTGCAAAAGAACAAAATGGAGAAAGAGAAAAACTGAAGCAAAAAGACAACAGTGGGTAAATAGAAAGTAGGAGCTAGAGCGTAAGAAGACAATGAAGAAAATGTGAAAAGGATAGCAAGCAGAGCTATATACAGATGGAACGAGATATATATGAGTAGTGAGAAATGACAAACGAGAGAGAATGAAGCAGAAAGGGAATAGTGAGTTTGGGATAGAATGAAATGTAGAAAAATAGTTGGCAGAATGTAGAGGGGTAGGTAAGAAAGGAGGTAGATATAAAGTTAGGTAGACAGATAGATAGATAGCTTAGATACGTAGATTTGATAAATAGTTGAAGGTAGAGAGAGAAGAATAAGAAATAGAGGGTGATAGAGAGGTGATGTTATAGAACGAAAGTTAGAAATTACGTAGATAGATAGGTAGGAAGAAAGATTGATAAATGTATACGTAAGGAGGTTAGGTATACATACATAGATAAGTAGGCAGATAAATTAGGAAGGTAGTTAGGTATATACATATACATATTAGATATATAAAGGTAGAGATATGCATATAACACGTAAAAAATATTAGATAATTTATCAAATACTTTGTCATTTTGGTGATTTGATGATAAATATTAATTTGATAATGATAATAAAATATTAATTCATTTATGTTCAGTGGTCTAGTTGAGCAAATTACTTATTTCAATTAATTATATTTCTTATGTATGGTCTTGGTTGAGACGAGGGATTTGAGCCCACCCAGCCGGAGGTCTTTTGATCTCAACCAAGACCTAACATAAAAAAATATAATTAATTGAAGTAGTAAATATTGTATATTTTATGCCCGGAAGACTTTTTATCCATTTACATATTATTAATAATTAATTTTAAAGTGTGTTTGCCTTACATATGTAATTACAATTCAGAAACTGTCGTTGATTAAATATTGAATGTAGGAGAATAAAAATAAAACTGAGCGGAAAGTTGAATAAAGTTAAATAGATTATAAAATATAACTTGTTCGATGGTCACTCGTTAAAAAAAATCTAATATGTTATTATCCAATTTTTATATGCACTTCCCTGAAGAAGAATATGAAGGTACTTTTTTTTTTTTTTTTTTTTTTTTTTTTTTTTCCCGCCGTACCTAAGGGAGACCCCATACCGGCGGACCACGGCTAAATTTATTAGCGTGAAAGGAATGGGTTGCTTAACCCCCCCCCCCCCCAGGAACATCGAGATCTCTGGAGGAATTAATGGACCATACTACTATGTTTGTGTTAAGGTATATATAAGTATTGTATTATTATATATAAATTTTTTTTGTCTATTC